ATGGGCGTGGACGCGCGGAAGGAAGTCCCCACGGGCGTCTCTCGTAAAGAGACGAGGCTCTCGCGCTACCGTAGAGGCAGTAACTTGCCGCGTCGTCGGCGAGTAGCTCGACGCTGCGCTCGACTGCTGCGTCCCACTAAACCAACTTCAAGCGCCTATCCTCGCCAGGAATGCATCCGAGACGCCACGATCGCGAACACGTGGTTGCGGTCCTGGGTGCTCTGTGGACGCGGCGTCCCCACGTGCCCCTCCTTGCTCCGCACCTCTAGCCTAGGCGTAGGGATGGTTCCTATTAGCTTGCGCCTCGACGAGTCGATGGCCCGCCTCGCTCTCTTGGCAGCGTACACTGTACCGTCGGCATTGTTGTCGAAGGCAAGATGCCCTGAACTGCAACCTGGTCGGGCACGTGCATGCGCTCCAGCCCATTGGTCCGTGCGTGTAAGGCCTGTCTTTTCCCTGTCGACCACGGATTGCAGTTGCAGTTCCCACAGGCGCGCTACGTGATAAGCTTTGCTCCTACGGCTGGCTGTTGACCTGATCCGAGTTCGTGGCACTCGGTCGTCGCTACTTATTTCTATGGCAGTGACCGCGCCGTCGATCATCCCACGCCACACGTGGCACGCTGAGCAGGCAGCGAGCGTATAGGACGCGACACTAGCACCAACCGTGGCGCTCGTCGCCTGGCGTGACCTCTCGCGCAACCTCGAGGCGTTCGGTGAAACGGGTGTCTCTTCCAGTAAAAGGGCAGCCAAGATCGCGGCTTTTGGTGTTCATTTCGGAAATCGCCGGCGATGGAGAAGGAGGCAGCGCTGACGCAGCACCAAGGCGGCTTGGCCGAGTACCCGAGCCGGAAGCCGCTCCAGAAGGCGCTCGTGGTGTCGATCCTCGTGTACATCGGGTCTTTTGCCTTTACGTGGTACAAGGTGTACTGGGACACGCTCGTTTCGCTCGCCTTTGTCGCCCTCGGCTACTACGCGATCTACGACCCCAACAGTCGCCCGATGGGCAAGGCCTTCCACCTCGTACGTCGTCTGTCTGCACCGCGCTGGCAACGACTATGTATTGTAGTTTTACATTGGGCTCATGCTGTGCATTCTGCTGCACACGATTGCGTTTGCGCTGCTCGTCGCCGAGCTTGTGAGCAGCCAAGTCGAAGCGGTGCTCAACCTCAAGCTCATCGACTCCCCGACAGGCCTCATCATCTTTCTCATCATTCTCGAGGTCGGCTACATGACGCTCACGGTACGAACAACAGAAGCTTGCTGGCAGTGGCCACGAAATGATGATGTCTGTAGGGCGTCGCGATCGGGCTGTGCTACCGCCTCCGCTGCGAAGTCGACGGTATCGTCGACGACCCGATCGAGTACCACGAGCTCCTCTAATCGCTACGACCCTCGTGTGTTGTATATACCGTCGTCCTAACGTCAAGTACATCTGCATCCTTGGAGCTTGTTGGTGCCATCCATCACGACGCCAACGACAGCAAAACGGAAAACCAACGGATGTTGAACTCGGACAGGCGAGTTAGTATTGCGTTGATGCGGTCGTCGGCGCGAGCTATACCCTACTGAAAATGCAGTGAGGCATCGACCATGGCTTGGCGGGCATCGTTGGCCGCGACTGCAGCAGCGACCGCCTCGGTCTCACTGAGGAAGGCGCAACCGAGACACGCCAGAACCATACAAGAACCTTGGGCGGTAGCATGCCCAGCCGCGTGCCGTGGAGAGAGGCATCGAAGGCATCGTCTTGCTGCAAAACACGTCGGTGGTCGAAAGGATGCCGCCCGTGCTCTCGTTGATAAAGAACCATGAGAGCACCTTGAGCGCACTGGGTTGCGACGCATTACGCGCGCGGAGGCGCAAGCGATGTGCCACCGACGACCGCAACACCACCTTCGTATACGTCGAGACGGCCCGTCGATGACTGCTTCGGCAGCTTTCGAGTGGCGTAGTGTACCTCGGTGTGCGTGAGGAGGGTGTCGACGACCAAGTTGACGCGATCGAATCTCTCGAAGCACTGGAGCACGGCCTCGACGTCGACGACGTCGTGGAACTAGAGTGCTTGGAGCGAGACGGCTTCGTTCCCGTACTGCGCTACCAGGGCGTGATGTGCGGCGATACGTCGAACGCCTGCACTTGACAGAGCACTTGATGCGACACGAACGTGGTGCGGTGGTCGCTTTCAACCCACGTACGTCGGCACAAGACGACCTCGTTGGCCGCGGGAAACAGGGGACGCAACGACTTTGGCATGCGCTTTTGTACGCGGTTCGGGAAGGTTTCGCCAACGAACGCTGAGGCTGAGGAGCGGCAACATCACCTCGAGGGATGCTTGTAGCGCGGTGGCATTGGCTCTTGGTACGTTCTGGATGTCCCTCTCCAGCACGACAGTATTTGTGGTCGTGTGCCACGTCCCGGGTGTCGGCAGCATCTGAAGGATCGGGCAGACAGCGGCGATCGGAGCGTCCAGGCGCGCTGTGGAGGAAGACGACGATATCGTCGGCGGTATCGAGGCCCGCGTAGAGCGCCGGGTCGACAATGTTGAGGCACATCCTTAGCGTACGGTAGCGGTCATCCTGTCTTGAAGCGAGACGCCCAGCGCAAAGGAGAGCCGCAAGCGATCGGGCGCTTCCAAGTAGTAGACCAAATGCTGTTGCCAAACTACACAAGATTGAACCGCATGGCACGCATGCACCAGCGCAGCACCATATCCAGCGCCATCCAAGCATCCACGGTGCATGCATTTCCATGTAGTGTACTGTACACTTGGTGCGAACCTACCTTGTTGGTTGTTGGGGACGTTGATATCGAATGCTGCCATCGCCAAGAGCCTTTCGAGAACGACGACGTGACCAGCACGTGCCAACGCATGCAACGCCGTGTTGCCGCACTACGGGTGAAGTGAACTCCAAGGCGAGGTGTCCATCTCGTTCAAGAAACGCGAGTCGCAACTGGTTGCAAAAACCGCAACGAGATGCTATTGGTGCCGCACTTGTGTGCCATATACAGCGCCCTCGGTTGCGCGCATGATAAGCCTCATGTCCGAATGACGTGTCGACGTGGCCGCGTCGTTCAATGTCGATCCGAGTATCCGGATTCGGATGAAAACCATATGTGTCCACCAATAACCGATAGTGAACCAAACGGTTGGCATCCGGGCTCTGGCCGTCCACCAAAACACGCGCCATGCATTCGACTGTAGCGCTTGCAACCAGCACAAGTGTCATACGGAGCAGTTGCACCAAGCCCATCGCCACGACGACCACGTCGAGCCGACGACGTATTAATACTACTACATGGTAGTACGCAAGAACAAGGGTCACTTTTGACTCTTGACAAGAAGCATGTTGCCATGACCCCATGCCATGACCCAGCCGAGGTCGAGAGAAGGACAAGATGCAGCAAAACGTACAGCAAACGTCGGCACAACCGTTGGGCCTTGCATATCCGAGTCAGCAAGCATAGCAGGGTCAGCAGGCATGTCGAGTTCCGTTGCCTTCATCGGCGGCAACCGAGAAGCCGGTTCAGCACCGGTAGTTTGCCGACAATGCTACGTGGAGTCGCACCACGGTGCTAGGGTGCACACGCAGCAAGCATCCCAGTTGCATTGCCAGGTCGTCCTATTAGCTCTATATTCCGATTTTAAACGAGAGAAGAAATCCGCTTTGGTTCAACGCAAGATCGACCAGATGGTTAACGCGCCCTGTCGCGCAACAACCGCTCACTTTTCGATTTCTCTGCAGCATGCGTGTAGCTATCCAGCAAGCGACGGCGCTTGTCGTCCTCGCCACGTCTGCGCACGGCTTTGCCTCGTACGCCTCGAACCCGCCGCCGTTCCAGCCGTGGTCGCCGACCGACACGACCAACATGGCACCGTGTCCGATGCTCAACGCGCTCTCGAACCATGGCGTCTTGCCGCGCAGCAACATTTCGGCCTCGGACCTGCGTTCTGCGCTGGGTGCGCTGCAGTGCGACAGCCTCATCCAGCGCATCCTTTCGAGTGATAGCGTCATGGCGCTGGGCCATGGCGGCTTGCTGACGCTCGCCGACCTCGATGTGCACGGCGCGATCGAGCACGACGCGTCGCTCACGCGCCAGGACGCGGCCCTCGGCGACAACACCAAGCTGGACCCAGCGCTGCTCTCGGCGTTCAAGGCGATCTCGGCCGACGGCAAGTACATAACAAAGTCGGAGCTCGCGGCCTACCGCGTCGTGCGCGCCGCCGACAGCAAGGCGCGCAACCCATCCGTCCGCTTTGGCGTGCGGGAGCAAGTCACTGCGTACGTCGAGGCCGCGGTGCTCTTCGTAGCGTTTGCAGACGACTCTGGCGCGATGCGCCTCGACTGGCTCGAGATGTTTTTCGCCCACGAAAAGCTGCCCTTTGAACTGGGCTGGACGCTGCGCCGCATCTCGCTCGCCCGTGTGCTTCTTGTGGCCGGCGAGCTGCGCGGCTCGGCCTTTGGCGCCCAAGTGCTGGCCATGATCGCCTAAGAATTCTTTTATATATATGTGTGTTGTGGACTTGGTCGTCGGATCAGGCGTCAGTGACGAGTCGTAACTGGTCGCTGGATTGTCGTTGTTGGCATGAGTTCTAACAGTGCGCTGGATTGTGCTCTATGAACCTATGAAGTGGTTCACCCATGCTGCCTTTTGCCTTAAGGTAGACCAAGGGATGGACCCAGGTACACAGGTTCAAGTCCATGAAGCAACGAAAAGAGAACGCCTATCGCAAGTTGCATACGTAGTCATTCATCATAGTGCCAATGGTGAAGATGTACCAGCTAGTAGTACAGTACTGGAGCAGCATTTACATGGACACTTTCGAGCATGCGTTGTAGCCTCGCGGCTGGCCAAGGTGCTGGCACTTGAAGATCCATGAGCGGTGCGCCGTTGCTGATGCTTGGTGCTTATCGCGTGGCCGTGGGCACTCGCATGACGATCATAGATATGGAAGCGTCTGTCTTGCCATCGTCAACGTCCCTCATAGTGCTCGTGCGTGCATTGCACCTCGTACTTACCGGATGCGTGTCAACAGTCCCTCTAAAGTGCGAATTCAACCGGTTCTCGAGCCGGCTGAGCCAATCGGTTGCGGGACGAGAGCGCTGGGACCAATTGAGTTGTCGCGCCATGGCCAAGAACAGCAGCAGCAAGAAGCGTGGAAGCTTCCGACGATGCGCGTCGGCTCATGCTACAATGCGCTGTAGAGGACAAGGCGCCAGCCAAGAAGAAGGTACATGCCAAGCCGACGCTCAAGAAAGGCCAGCCCTTTGCCGCCTTGAGCAAGGGCCACAAGTGCGTGCCTTCAATTCGTATCTCTCGTATCCTCGTCCCTCACCACGCTCGCAGACGCCCATCGGGCCAGCCGAAGGCGAATGTGACCAAGACCGTCCAGCGACCTACCAAGCACCAAGAGCTCCAGCGCAAGCAGCGCCTCGACGAACAAAAGAACTTTGAAGAGCGGATGAATGCGACC